AAAGGAGGAGCTATAGTTTATATTTGTAAACACCACCTTCCTGTAAGTTACCTAGTGCATCATATGTATATCTGTCATCCAGTTGTCTAGGGCAGGTACACTGTGTGTGTGCGCCTTATACAGTATTGTGCATATCAGAACTTCATAGTACATATATGTACAACATTGTTCACTATAGAAGCCATATATAATCTTAGATCTAGGGGAACCTGCATATTTGACATCACTATCTTGAAGATATATTATGGAAAGGAAACACATGCAGATTAAAAAGAAAGATTGAAAAATTAGGAATTTAAAGTTAATCACCAGGCAGACAATAAATCCTAATTTCTAGAGATCATTAGAGACTGCTTGATGTGCCTAGCAGGATAAGAAGAGTGAACAGGACCCAATGAAACAACAGTGTGCACAGAACAACCTACAATCCTGAGAGAGAAGATGTGTCTGTCTGTCTACCATAATATTTTGTAAAATTCTAATATTTTGATGTGCAGTTCAAGATCAAGTTGCATTCTACCACAATGACATGCTGAATCATATATAAGAAACTGGTAACCTTATACATTTTGCATGCAAACTAAATTTACAATCATATACAGTTTCAATTTACAAGTTATTTAGTTATTTTGGAGATGTAGCTATTTCCATGATACAAGTTGGACTTCCCTTATCCCACACCCTCAGGACCTAAACAGTCCCACACGAGAGGATTTTCCAGACCAAGGGAGGTCTTTCTCCTGCCACCAGACTAGGGAAGCCTGGCCCCACTTCTGCCCCAGCCCTTGGGCTTTCAAACTGCCACCAGCCCCGCTTCTGCCAGGATCAGAGCTTCGCAGCCAGAGCCAGAGCTCTGCAGCCATTGTGCAAAATCAATACAGCGCATACTAAATAGATTAACACCTGGCTAATCATTGTATTTCAGAATGCAACAGCGAATAGGGATATCATCAACAAGTGAAGGTGATTCTATAGAGAGGTCCAACTGCATTAGCTCCAGCTCAAGAGTTACTTCAATGTTTTTATCTATATCTGGAAGAATATATAAGATCACTGCTGATAAAAGTTGGCAGACTACACAATTTGTGCAGTGGTAAATAAAAAGGACATGTCACTATTACAGATCTGGATTGCTTTGTAAATCCATGTACATTCAAACATCATACAATTGAAAACAGCCAAGTGAAAAGCCATACTCCAGTAAAGAATACAAGCTCATACTTACGGGATCCTGGAAAGCAACGACTCTTAAAAGAACTTAGGAGTCATTGTGGATAGCCAACTAGAGTTTCCAGAGCAATGCTGTGGCTAAAAAGGCCTAAAATACAGTCCTTGGATGGATAAACAGGAATAGGTATTTAAAAAACAGGAATAAAGTGATATTACCTCTGTATATGGCATTATTGAGATCATTATTAAAATACTGTGTTTAGTTTTGATATTGACACTTTAAAATAGATGTTAAAAGTTGAAGAAAATTCAGAAAAGAGCCACAAGAATAATTTGAGGTCTGGAAAACCTGCTTTGCAGTTGAAATTTATAGAAAATTTTTTGGAAATGTAGGATATTTCCATGGTACTTGTAAGAGTTGTGTCACATTCTGATTAAAATAATAGCATTATGCAAAATCAATACAGCACATACTAAATGGATTAAAAACTGTCTAACCATTGTATTTCACAATGTAACAGGTAATGGGGAAATCATCAACAAGTGAAGGTGTGAAAATTTTATCAAGTTGGCTTATTAAGGTAAAGGTTAAGATGTGACATTCTCATTCTTTGCCGGGGAGATGATGTCTGAAACCTGAGGGCTCTAGCAAAGGCATAATAACATGCCAATACTAGTAGCTGAAGCTGGACAAATTTAAACTGGGAGCCAGGGAAATAATTTTTGAGTGTGGATAATTAACCACTGAACTGCTTATCAAGAGATTATATAGATTCTCCATCTCTTGAAACTTCTAAATCAACACTGAATGCCTTTCTAAAACATATATGTGCTAACTCAAAAAGAAGATATGGGCTTGATGCAGGAATTACCAGGTAAAATTCTATTCCCTGAATTATGCAGCAAGTAAGATTAGATCATTATAATGGTTCTTCTGTTCTTGAAATCTATCAATTAGTTTATGGGAGCAGGAACTCTAAAGTGCATGTAAGAAGATCTCTGTAATATTCTGAAACTAGTGCATGAGAAAATAAGCAATCCTGAAACTAAAAGCAATATTATATGTCAATTAAAATCAAGCAGAGATCAAAATGAATTCGTGTTTATACATCAATGATTTATATACCTTGCTGTTTCAATTAAAAACTCAAAATGATTTGTTACTCCTCCAACTTTTACTTCTGTAATTTTTAAAAGTCTGTGTCAATGTAGCTAATATATTTACATATTTTACTATAGTTATACCTACCAAACCATCGCTTGGAGTAGGTTAATTGCATAGGAAGATATTACTATGTTTACATTTTCTCTTAAATTACTTTTTTAAAAAGCACAGTAAAGAGTCTGAGGACAAATTATTCAACTGTTTATCATACATAAGACTGCATGACTATAATACAAAGGGCTTGTCTTTTTCATTTAACGTTACAATATACACAGCAAGTCCGGACTAGATCTTACAATCTGAACACAGGTATTTAACCTTTTCCATGCTGTTTATGTTTACAATGCACAGAAGTCCTGTAACCAAACTGTGTAGTAAAGCACACAAAACTGGACTGTAACATAACACAGTATGCAGGAGCATTGGATTTTATGATTTTTCTTTATGTAAATATTTTTAAAACTGCTTTTAATTTTTGGTGCTTGCTAAAGTGTGGCAACCAACACAGGAAAATTACCCATATTTTATATTACCCTTATATTTCTAGACAGCAGTAAGTACTGGATTCCTCTTTATATTGCTAAACTCAGTGCTCTGTTTCTAAGATGACAGCATTTCAAATCACTGTAAACTTTTCTGAACTACTGAGTTAAAAAAATACTTTCATTCACAGGCTTGACATTTCAATAAAAAAATGGAGCCCTCGATAAAAAAAAAGTTGTGATTTACAAAAACTGGTAACCCCCAAATACTCATTTGCATTTACACAGTATTCAGTTGTTGTGTTGCCATTTGTTAAGTATAAGGGAAAAAACCCTTTTGTTCAGAAAAACTGACCTAGCCAGCCACATAAAATTGACCAGTATAACCATGCAATATTCTTCTGCTGAATTACCTTTTTAAAGGGCTTACTGGCAGAGGTAGATCACTGCTTCTGTAATATATAATGGGCAAACAATGTTCTGGGACAGGTAATTACTGAAATTACCCTTATTTTTTACTTTCACTGAAGTTTTATTCATAATATTTACAAATCTTTATGTGGGCCCATAAATTTAGCAACTGCCAAGCTGACTGTGTTATATTAAGGCAGCATAACCCAAAAATTAGGCACCTGTTAAATACAGCCTGTTAATTTCAGGTCTCACATGAGCTTTTTGCTTTACTCATACTATTGTTTTGGACCTGTTCATGCAATCAAAGTCTTGCCTTCAGGTTGACATTTATATTAATAAGGAATACAAGAATCAACTGCTGGTTTCATAGCTTCTGGATCTAGTGTCCCTTTTAACCTTCAGAAGCCTGAACACATTTATAATGTAACAGATGTTTAGTCTTGAATTAGATGTCGATCTATTATGTTCAGTACACAGATAGCTGTAAATGTATTGGCTATGAATTCAACAACAGTTCCAGTTTTGTTTAAGCAATAGTACAGCCATAATTTTCAACTGACATTTAAAAATGGTCTAATTACACCTTGTGTCAAAGTGCAGAACTGCTACATTATTGGTTACAGACATCTATGTGCTATAAAAACAGCTTTGGTACAATAAATTATCAAAAAAGAAAATAAATTTTTGTAAAATTCACAGCATAATTGTGAGGCAAAAAAGCAGTCACATAAAATTCTGCATTTTTTAAAAATGTTCAGAATGAACAGAAGACATCTTTGTGCAGAAGTAATGGTGGAGAAACCACGTGCCGAGAAAAAAGCAAAAGAAAAAAGTAAAAAGCAGGAAGGGACACAGTTGTAGCTATTTCCATCAAACGCAAACCACTACTTCTGTGACCTTCAACCAATAAGGAATTCAACTTTATGACACACGCAAAGTGACCTTGCAATACCTTACAATAAGTGGGTCACAAAAGTCTATTTTAAAAGAAAGGCCTCTTGAATTACCCATTCTCTGTTTTCAGCATTAAGGACTGTCTGCAAAAGCATGTCCAAAAGTGATTGCATCTGAAATGGTAGGCTCTTCTAATTTAAGAGTCCAAATCCATAAGGCCAAAGGTTATCCCAAAGACCACCAGTTAAGACCTCCCCAGGACTGGCCAGGACCAACCCGTTGATTGCTTCTCAGTGCACCTTAGTTATGAGACCAGTCATATTCCCATACTAGCTGACTGTGGTCTCTCAAATATGAGACACACAGAATCCCATTATAATTGCTGCTTTGATCCTCAGTAGATTCAGATAAGGAGAGTTCTGATCACCGCCACTTAACATGCTTAATGGCCCTCACAAACTCCATTACAACCGTCCCTGTTTACAGCTGAATATTACATATAATGTAATATGAAGGTCCCTCTTCCTTACAGTACTGCATTTCTGTGCCCATCTGTATTTGGGGAATTTAAAAAATCCATATTAATCAATCCCTTCCCCCAATCTTAAAGGGCCCTTTTATGTAAATCATGTGCAGTTTTTTGTTTTGTTTTTAATTTGCAACTAAGAGTAACATTTGAACATTAACCCCTGTTGAATGAGACAAAAAATATATGACTAGGTTGTGGCAGGTTAAAATGGAGGGATGGAAGGGAAAGCAAAGGTGAGAGAGACAACACCTCTAAGCTATCCATTAAGGTGGGTTTGGACATGGCTCTTAAAAAACTTCATTGTCCCTTTGCAATCTTTTCAAGTTTAAAAAAATAGTCAGCCAAGCAGCTTTGCACTTTGTTTTTGGAAAAACACCACTTCTATAAAAACACACAAGAAACAAACTTAGTTTCAGTTTAGTCACGAGCTAGCTACAGGACTTTGCTGAACACAAACTCCTGTCATGGGAGATTCTTCTCTATCAATTCCTTGCCTCATTCCAAGATGTCCTTCAGTCATGTAATGAGCAGGACCTGTATTAGCAGAAAACTGGTATGTTGGATGTCCAGCTATGCCAGTCTCCTGGCGCGGATTAGAATAAACTGTTAAATTCACGTCCATAGCTCCATTTTGTCCAAAGTCCAACGTATTAGCAGCCACTGGGCGGTTCTGATAGGCTTGATTGCCTTGGTTACCAGTAGAGGAGGAAGATGTAGAGGAAGAAGTAGTTGAGGAAGACAGAGATGTCATGGAGTGGTGACTATGGCCCACCTCCATAGAATCCTGGGTGGAGGAGCTATTTGTTGGAGAATTGTAGACGCTTGGCCTGGTCCGGTTACCCAAGGCTTGCTGTCCATGATGGTGGTGGGGATGGTGGTGATGATGGTGATGGTGGGAACTATTTCCATGGTGGTGATGTAATGCATTCTGTTGTTGAGGGGTTACGTGGAAGGTGGTTTCTTGAACTGGATGGGTTTCAACAGTGACCTGCGTAGGAGCTTCAGTGCTTGTCCAACCAAGTGGAGGAGGAAACTGCTGTCGAACCTGTAATAGCAGTTTAAGAAATAAGTTTAATCAAATATTTTGAATATGCCATTTATACAAAGAGCTTAAAAACCATTCACATTTACTTTCATGTAAGAAATAAAATTAAATTTTCAGTAGCAGAAAAAAGCTCTGATAAAAATGCCAAGTTAGAAATATTTCTGATATTATTTTCTAAATGTATCTTTGAAAAAGAAAAACTAGGACAGAGACTTCGAATATACAGGCAGTCCCTGACTTACACGGATCCGACTTATGTCGGATCCGCACTTACGAACGGGGCTCTCTCGCCCCGGAGGTCGAGGTGGCGGATTGCTGCCTGCGAGCTCCGGGGCGAGAAAGCCCCGTTCATAAGCTGCTCCCGGTGCCCCTGGTCTGCTGGAGACCGTCTCCAGCAGACCAGGGGCACCGGGACTGAAGCCGCAGCAGCGGCGGGTTCCCGCGCTTCTGAGGCTTTGCCAGAGCAAAGTTGCTCTGCCCCAGGCTTCCTGGAATCAGAGGCTGATCAGTTTCAGCAGCAGCTGACTTGGGGATGCTTGGGGTTCTTAAGTTGAATCTG